TTTCTCAACCTCATGCTGCCTTCTCTCTGCCCAGGCTGCTGGCAATGCAGTGAAGCGAGCCTCAGATAACCTGGTGAAGGCAGCACAAAAGGCAGCAGCCTTTGAAGACCAGGAGAACGAGACAGTGGTGGTGAAGGAGAAGATGGTCGGGGGCATTGCCCAGGTGAGCTTGGTCCTAGATACCCTGAGGGACAGCGTTAGCAGGCAGTCACATTGCCTGTGCTGGCCTCAACTGCTCTCTACCCTAATGAACAAACCCACTGAACTGAGTCCCTGATCTTCATCCCTCAGATCATTGCCGCACAGGAAGAGATGCTCCGGAAGGAACGGGAGCTGGAAGAGGCCCGGAAGAAGCTGGCCCAGATCCGGCAACAGCAGTACAAGTTCCTGCCATCAGAGCTTCGAGATGAGCACTAGGGCAGCCGCTTCTATTTAACATGCAGACCCAGCCCAGAGACTGTGCCTACCATTACCAAAGCCTTCTGGGCTGTCGGGCCCACCCTGCCCAACCCCAGCACTCCCCAAAGTGCCTGCCAAACCCTAGGCCTGGCCCTGCCCAGTCCCGCTGCACATCCCCTGTCCTTTCCCAACTCCAAGTGCCTTCATGCCCTTGGGCCCCCTAAGAGCCTGCCCCTCCCCAGAGTATTAACGCTCCAAGAGTATTATTAACGCTGCTGTACCTCAATCTGAACCTGCCAGGGCCGCAGCCCACTCCACCTTGCCAGCAGCTTCTGGCAAGTCCCCACAGCCTCAGCTCTACTCATCCTTTTTTTGATACTATCTTCTTCCTTGCACCCCCAGTTACCTGTGGGGCCCGTGGGGTTTTAAGCTCCAAATAAGTCATGCTCCAATAAAGGTGATTCTGCCTGCAACTCTGCCTGGCTTCCTGAAGAGATAGGACATTCCTCCAGGGCAGTGGGGGAGAGAATGGGATTGAGTTCTGTCACCAGCTTGATCTGGCTCAGAAATGGAGTGGGTCAGACTGTGGCAATCTGCCCTGTGAGGCCCCTTCCTCCTCCTTGTACCCATATCCCTAAAGTCATCCTAGTTGGGAAACTGTCCCTGAGAAGTCATATTCCTGTTGTCCCCTATCTCACTGGCCAGCACCTATACCTCACCAAGTGTCATTCTGTTGCAGGGACAGCAGCTGCTACTGCTCTCTGTGGCTACCAGGGACACTCTGTCCTTCATAACTGCTCAAAGTATGTGAACGAATCCAGTCCCTGGCCAAATTCAAATTTCAAAGCAGCTTTGCTAAAAATAATAAGCCTATAAAATACAAGTGTCTGAGCCTAAGAGAATTACCACCACACATTTGGCATTTAACAAGCAAAAAATCCAACTGAGGCTGCCTCGGGTAGGTTCTACTGTTGACTAGATTGGGGAACTTCTAGGCCCTCCAAGGCCTTGTCCTACTGCCTAGAATACCACTAGAAGAAAACTGAAAAAGCTTGACTCAGGTGTGAGACTATAGTTAGGAAGCAGAGCCCGCCTAGTGGCAGGCTGGTGCTGATAGCCCTGTTCCAGCTGCCCTGCTAATCTGGAGGTTCAGTGGAGGGAGGTGGTCAGGGAGGAGGGAGGTGAGTGCTGTGTGCTTCCACTTCCTTCTGCATTCACCCGCTCTGCCCACTGCATGGACTATCTGGCAGACCCCTTAGATCTGCCACTATTTTCCTGCACGATTCTTTAACCAGCTCTGTTGCCCGGTATGTTATTTCCTTGCTTCTCCCTCCAAGTGGCACACAAACACCACCCATCTGCTGCTACCCTGGGCACCCTTCACCTTCTTGAAGCCAAGACATCTACTTGTGGGAAAGTTTAAAGTAGGCGGAATCCCCAGGGCAGCCAATTAGGAAAAGTGCCAACTTCACACCATCACTCCTGTCAGCTTTGATTAATTCATTCAATATTTACTAAGCCATGCCTGTGCTAAGCACTGGAATATAGAGATGTATTATCACCTCTGACGCAGAGGACTGGCAACTCCAGTAAACACTGCTATAGCCCTCTAACCCCAGATTCAGTGTCCTAGCATTGTGAGTTGAGGACCTTAGAGATCAAATCCCGTCTCCAACCTCCCCAACAAGGAGTAGTCTAAACTGTTTAAACTACAGCTATGAGGCCAGGATAGCTGTTCACTCCTGCTGCCACTTCCCTGCCATATCTCCACATCCCCAATCCTGTACCTCTCATTAGTGATGCCTCCAAGAGCCTTCTGGGAAAAGATTTGAATACCCATTAGACCAGCAATTCTTGAAATGGAGTCCTCAGGCACCTAACGGCTCCTGAGACCCTTTCAGGGGTCTGTAAAGTCAAGATTATGTTCATAATAATGTTGACATTATTTTCCTTTTTATAGTGTCAGCATTTGTACTGACAGTGCAAAAACACTGATGGGTAAAACTGCCTTAGCACAAATCAAGGCAGTGGCCCAAGGCCCAAGCTCTACTAATAGTCATTGTATTCTCACTGTCATGCACTAGCAATTAAAGAAATGCTAGCGTCACTTAAAACTGTCCTTGATGAAACAGTAAAACTTTATTAATTTTATTAAATCTTATTCCTTGAGTAACAAGTCTTAATACTGTGTGAAGATCCAAAGCTTTTTGGATCTTCAAACTGCACTCTTAAGTTTTGAGAGTGTAAGGGGTTCTAAGACGAAAAACTTTTGAGAACTGCTGCACTAGACCATGAGTTCCTTTATATCCACATAGTATTAGTATCTTTGTGTACCCGGAACCTGGTGCATAAAAAATTCACCTGGCAAACGTTTATCAAGTGCCAACCCTATGCCTGATGTTATGCCAGGCATTGAGAATTCAGAATTGAAAAAAGATAGTCCCCGTTCTGTAGGGCTCAGACAAGTGGAGGAAACAAACAGGTACAAGAACTGTTATAAGAACTATGATAAGAATAATAGCAGCCTGCACCAAGAACATATAATCATTAGGTAGGTGGAGGGGGTTGGAGGGGAAGTAGCCAAGGGAGGTTTCCCAGAAGAGCCAACGCTTAATCTGAGTCTTTAAGACCACCAGGAATCAGCCAAGGGAAGAGCATTTTAGGGGGAGAGAACGGAATGCACAAAGATGGAAGCTTTAAGAAAAGTATGACTATTTCCAGCGCCTGCTGGAGCTCAGTATGAATCCGGGATGGGAATGAAAGGAGATGAGGCTAGAAGGCTAGGCAGGGGCCAAAACCAAGGGCTTTCTATACCATATTAAGAAATGTAGATTTTTATCCTCAAAAGATGGAGTAGGAAGGGGCGGGGTGAAGGGCTTTAGGATTCTATTCGCACCAACTTTTAAAAAGATCTTTCGTAGCAATGTAGAGAACTAGTTTAATGAATGATTTGGGGAACCAGATCCATGCAGGACGTAATAAAAGCTGCCCAAGGCAACCCCAGAGACGTGGAAGAGGAACGTCATTTGTAGGAAGTAGAATCTTCAGGATTAACTCGATGCAGGAAGTGAGGAACAGAGAAGCACTTGATAACGCCCAGGAGTCTAAGGGCCGATGAAGGTCTTTCACGAGTTTGGGGAAAACAGGGAGATGGGTCGGAGGGAACACTACGAAGGAGGTCAGGTTTGTTCCTTGTGTAGTAGCAGGCAGCTAATCAGATCTAAATACATTTCCGGGCCTCCCGGCCCCGGCTCGGGCCCCGGGCCCACGGTTCCTACGGTTCCCACCCCCACCAGCAAAAGTCAGGCCTCCCATCCTTCTGACCTTGGACAGCAAGGCGAAACGATCCCTCCAGGCTTCCTATGCCCCTTTTCCCTCCTCCGAAGCGGTTCTCCACTTCCTCTCCCCACCCCCACACCCCGTCACCCCACTCCAAGAAAAAAAACGAAAACAGCCTCGTGCCAGCGCCTCAGACTTCCCGACCCTAGGACCCAGCTCCGGGGCCTCTTTCTGCGGCCTGGGTTGGAGGGGCATCTCTCCTCCGGCTCCCGAGGCCCCGCAGTTCAGTAACTCTTCCCCTCGCCCCCTGCATTCCCAGCCCCAGCCCGGCCCCGCCTCCCCACCGGGAAACATCCCAAAAAAGGGCAGAAAAGAAATTTCGGCCTAAAGTTGGCCCGTAGGGAAAAGAGGAGAGTCCGCAGGGAGAAGAGGAGAAGGGAGGGCGCGCTGGGCAAGGGAGAGAGAGAAAGCGGGGGTGGGGTGGGGGATGAGTGGAGCGGTGGTCGGGCCGCTAGAGAGAGGAGGAGGGTGAGGAGGGGGCGGATAAGGACGCGTCCCAGACAGGGATGGGGGTGGGGAGCGCGCGTATCCCGCCCAGAGGTAGCTGCGTGGAAAATATGCGGGGCACGTGGGGGCGGGGCACGTGGGGGCGGGGCAGAAGGGGTGCGGAGCTGGGTTCCCAGCCTCCAGGTATCTGTAGAGTAGCGGCCCTGGTTCCAAGGCTACGGGCTGGAAGGAGAAACAAGAGGAGGGGAGGTCAGGCCCGCCCTCGGGGGCAGCAAGCCGGGCCCTCCCCGCACTGAGACCGAGTGGCTGGGCTCCCCTCCTGCCTCAGTTTCTCCGAGTCCCTAGTGAAGCTCCCGCTATCACTGCCACGTCGGTAACGCATACCCAGTCTGAGACTCAGGGTAAACTGAGGCACTCGACCGCTGAGGAGCCCTCCCTCCCCTCCACCCCCCCCCAAAAAGACATTTAATCCCAGGGGATTTACAGGAAACTTCTAAATTAAGGGCAGCGGCTGCTGCAGCTGAGGCGCGGGAGGGGGCACACAGGTCCCTGAGCCTAGGCAGCTGCCGTGAGCTCACGCCCCGAAATAGCCCCAGGGGCCCCATCCGCAGCTGCCACTGGGCCGGGCTGTCACTCAGGAAGCGCGGAACCCCCAGGCCGAGGGTACCGTCCCCTCAGCAGCGGTTGGATTTTTTCAGCGGATCATCCCGGCTACTTTCCCTTCCGACGGCTGGGGGAGGTGTGGGAAGAAAGGGGAGTAAGGGAGGGGCGGAGCCTCGAGGGGGCGGTCCCGAGGGGGTGGGCGCAGGGGGCGACCGCACCCCCACCTCCGACTGGGCCTTGCTTCTGCCCCTACAAGGTTTGGCCCGTGGTGGGGGAGGGTCCCAGCCCCCAGCTCCGCCCGGTCCCTCCCCGCCTTTTAGGCGCCCGCGCGGCTGGGACATCCCAGTCCAGTTTGGTTCTCCTGGCCCACCAGCCGTGCTTTCAGTCCTCGCCGCCAGCCCAGTTCGCCCGGTCCGCATCGCCAGCCGGCCGGCCCGACCCCCACCGCAGCCATGGACGCCATCAAGAAGAAGATGCAGATGCTAAAGCTGGACAAGGAGAATGCCATCGACCGCGCTGAGCAGGCCGAGGCTGACAAGAAGCAAGCTGAGGACCGCTGCAAGCAGGTGAGCGACCCCTCCCCCCGCCCAGCCTTCCCTCCCTACCCCGGGCCCAGTGCAACCCCCTCCCTCAAAATGAAGGCAGGGTAGGCGCAGCCCTGTGCCCCCTAGCCTGAGGCCTGCTGTCCAAAGCTCTCTCCTGTCCAGCGCAGGGTCTGGGCCTTCATAGTTCCCCCAGGGACCTAGCTAGAGCCACACTTCATCTCACACATTATAGCCTGGGGAGCCCCAGTACCCCAGCTTCCACTCTTGCCCTTGCAGAGTAATGATGGGCCCTGCTCCTTAAGGCTGGAATCTCTCCACTCCCACCAGGTCCCTCGAACACCCCTGGCTGCACTGTCCCTCCTCTACTAACTCTCTTCCTCTCTGACAGCCTCTAAATATCTCCTAGTACCTGCTTACACACACCCCTGCCTCCTCCCTGGGCCTGGGCCTGGCTAACCGAGGCTTCTCTCTCTCAGCTGGAGGAGGAACAGCAGGCCCTCCAGAAGAAGCTGAAAGGAACAGAGGATGAGGTGGAAAAGTATTCTGAGTCAGTGAAGGACGCCCAGGAGAAACTGGAGCTGGCCGAGAAGAAGGCCACCGACGTGAGTGTGAACCTGGGGGACGGTGGGAGAAACACACTGGGAGGGGTCCTAGACCTGGGGATAAAGGGAGATGAGAACCTAGATAACCCCCGCACCAGGACAGAAATGGTTTCCTCTCAGGAATCCAGGCCAAGGCAAGCTTGCACAAATAATCCTAGGCAGTGGGTAAATCAAAACCACCTACCACTTCCCCTAGAGGACGGGTAGCCTTCTAATTCCGTTTGGCTGCATCTCTTAGAATGTACAGTGATCAAGCAGTGAGTCATCGTGGGGGTGGGTGGTACAAGAATTTACCATCCACCCCAATCAGTCCTCCTACTGAAAAAGAAGAGGGCACTGCAGCTACATTTGCAGGGTGTGGGTATAGGTGCTGCTGGGCAGGAGGAGGGAGAGAAATCCAAAACTGGGCTCTGACTTGAGTTACACCCCTGGGGGGCCATTAGAAATTCCCTGGCCTTGACCTCTGGCTCCAGTGGCCTTGCTGTGCACTAGGGCCCCAGCTCAGGTTCTAACAGCCCCTCATTTACCCTCATTAAGCTGTCAGCCTCGAGACCATGCCAGGCCACAGGGCATAGGGACAGGGCCACAGATGCCAAGACAGCCGTTTGGCACATCCTGCTCACTCAGATTTCGCTGCCCACCCCACACACCCTAACCAGACTTTTCTACCTTCTGTCATTTCCAACCCCCACCTCGAGGTAGGAGAATGGCCATATGACCTTAGACATGATCGTTACCGGTACCATTCTCTGTCTCAGTTTCTCCATTTGCCTTGTACCAGGATTAGGTTTAAAATGAGCCCACTGTTGGGTGGATAGGGAGATTAGCATAAGCATGGTCTGAACCTCTGAGATCAGAGATGACATTAACTGTGTGTATTGACTGTTATCCATGTTCCCCAATTCCTTACCCCCATTCCCACTCTGGGTTAATTTCTCTGACCTCCAGCCTTTGGTTTTGGTTCTCCACGAGCCCTGGCACTTGGGAGGAAGCTGACCTGCAGCTGCTAGCAAAGACAACCCTGGACATCTGACACTCTATAAATAACCAAGGCCCGGTGCAGCTGAAGGCAGGACTGGAAACCCAAGGAGTGGGGTGGGGGCTGAAGGGGAGGAGGGTAGACAGGGACAGAGCCAGGGAAACAGGGCAGCAGTGCCCGGAGTAGAAAGGAAACTGCCCAGACTAATTGTGTGACCTTGAACACAGCACTTAACTTACATAGTGCCTCCTCCCTCAGTTTCTCCTTTCTCTTCTTGCTTCCCATTTGCCCAGTAAGGACAGTTGTGTCTCTCTGTAGTTAGAGAGCAACATCTATAACTTGGAAGAACTTAAGAAGCAGAAAATGGCAAATGTCAGTCCTGTGATGAGGATCCCAGGACTTCCCAGAGTTATTTGTCACCCCACTGCCATAGAGTTTCCCTTTTACAGAATCTCATCTCTCTCTAGAGTAGACCACTCAATGTCACCGAGTCATTCTTCTCAACCTCCAATGCTATCCCCAGAATCCTTCCACATTGACTCATCTGGCCCTGTGCCCATGATGGGCTCTTGTCACCTTAGGTGGCCTTCAGCACCTGGAGGACAAGCTACAACTACTTTCTGTATATGGTACTGTGTTTCCTCTGCCCCACAGTATACCACCCAGGATCTGCTTTTTACCCCCTGTTCCCCCAGTGCTGCCACCTGTCTCACTTCTTCCCTTACACTGGTCCTTTCTCCTCTCCAATCTTAAATCTCAGGGTCTCTATCTATGTCTTTGTCTCTGAAGAAGAGCCAGGGATAACCTAACACTTGGACTGTGGATTCTGCAGGCAATATGCTCAAGTGTTTTACTGCATATTATTTCCCAAAATCATCAGACTCGCTTGGGAGCTTTAAAAAAAAAAAGATTTCTAAGCTCCTGCCCTGGTGATCTCAGTTCAGTGGATCTAGCAAGGAGCTAGAGAAACTGTTTAGTTTTATAAGCCTACCAGATGGTTCTATTGATTGATAGAGTATTAGAAATACTGCATTGTCTTAGAACTTTCAATTCCCTTGAAACAAGCATTCCTGTTTAGTTTTATAAGCCTACCAGATGGTTCTATTGATTGATAGAGTATTAGAAATACTGCATTGTCTTAGAACTGCCTACTCAGATTTAAAAAGGAGGAAACTGAGGCTTAGAGAGATTAAATAAATTGCCCAAGGTCACACGAGTGTTGAGTGACTGAAGTGCAGCTCAAAGATAACAGTCTGACTCAGAGCCAATATTCTTAACACCAAACTGCACTGCATCTCTCATTTTCCTTTGCTGGGGCTCATCTTGCTCTGCCCTCTCTTTTTTTTCAAGGTTTCCAAGGTTTTTGTCATCAGTTTCCATGGACCTTCCTCAGAATCTCCATAGTTTTGTCTCTATTTTAGGATTAGAGGCTAGGTATCTGTCACTCATACTGCCCTGGCACCATCCCCCAGTTGCCTCTAGGCCTTGGCAGGGAACCCCTTGCTACAGCCATGGCATGTCCCATACGCCTGCCTGGCTTGCCTCCTGAGCCCCTCGCTGGGAATCTGCCTGGCAACTGGTGACATCATCAGGGCTTGATTCGGTGATTGGCTATTTTTAGCAGCAGCAAGGTCTGGTTGGCCTTTTGCCCCACCTCCTTACCTGGTCCCAGCTCTGCTGTGGTGTCAGGGCTGCCTCAGACTTCGTCACAGCACTTGGAGTGTCCTTGGAGGGGACAGAGGGACCTGCATGCAGATAATTATTGGGAAACTAACTATGCACAGTGCCTGAATTGGCACTGTAGCAGGGGAGTGGAATGTGTCAAGGAATGCCTATTTTGGACTGGAGCATAGAGTCTGGGCAGAATATAGATGGTTGCTTAGGGTGAAAAAAAGAGGTCGAAAATCTAGAAACCAGGAAGCTGGGGTTCTTTTTTGACAAGAATCTTACCATGCTCTGGAGCCTTGATAATCTTTATCCAAGGTAGACAAAGCCTTTCTGACCTCTAACCTTTGACCTGTAGGCTGAGGCAGATGTGGCCTCCCTGAACCGCCGCATTCAGCTGGTAGAGGAGGAGCTGGACCGGGCGCAGGAGCGCCTGGCTACAGCCCTGCAAAAGCTGGAGGAGGCTGAGAAAGCAGCTGATGAGAGCGAGAGGTGGGAAGGGGACCCTAAGCCAGGGACCGGGTGGGAAACCTATCTCTGCTGGTCCTGACCCCACCACCACCCCTCTCCTTGCCTCTCAGAGGAATGAAGGTCATTGAAAACCGAGCCATGAAGGATGAGGAAAAAATGGAGCTTCAGGAGATGCAGCTAAAGGAGGCCAAGCACATCGCTGAGGATTCAGACCGCAAATATGAGGAGGTGACAGCCCTGCTCCACGTCCTTCTCACTCCCAAGCCCCAGACACCCCCAGTCATTCACCATAGATCTACTCCTCTCTCCCTTCCCCCCAGGTGGCCAGGAAGCTGGTGATCCTGGAAGGAGAGCTGGAGCGCTCAGAAGAGAGAGCTGAGGTGGCTGAGAGGTGAGGATACCCTAGGGTGGCAAGTGAAACTTCACCTGAGCCCGTGGCTCTGGGGCACTCTGCATAATGAGGAGGCAGTTTCTCAGACTTGGGGCCACAGGGACAGATCCTGTCCTCTGACCCCTACCTGCTGCCTCTAGCCGAGCGAGGCAACTGGAGGAGGAACTTCGAACCATGGACCAGGCCCTCAAGTCCCTGATGGCCTCAGAGGAGGAGGTAGTGACCTCTCTGGACCTTTCTGGGCAATGGCGCCTTCTCTCAGCTCACCTCCTTCTCCATCTCAGGCTGTTCTCTGTCACCTGCTGGGGTTGAGAAGGGCATGGGGCTTCCAAGCTCTGTCTGCTGTCACTCTCACAACTTTGCTCTTCTCTTCTCTCCTCCACCCCTCCCCCACTGTGCCATCTCCACTGTCTCCCCTCACTGTGCCCTCACATCTCACCCTGCCACACACCCCCTGCAGTAAATGTGGGGACCTAGAGGAGGAGCTGAAAATTGTTACCAACAACTTGAAATCCCTGGAAGCCCAAGCAGACAAGGTAGAGGGGGGTAGAGGGGCAGTGAGGATGGGGTCCTGCAGGGGAGTGGGGCGATGGGCCCAGGCAGGGTGGGGCTGGGTGATCAATGGAGACAAGATCCTGAGTAGCCTGCAGGGCTCAGAGGAAAAATGAAGGATTTTTGGAGGCAATCTACTGATGGCATCTGTATGTCCCTGAAAGTATTCCACCAAAGAAGATAAATATGAAGAGGAGATCAAACTTCTGGAGGAGAAGCTGAAGGAGGTAAGAGTCCTTCCTGTCTTCTTCCCCTCAAGCCTCCAAATCCCCACCAGAGACAGCCTGTGGCAGGGAATTTGGGGCTAGGAATGGTAGAGAAAGTCAACTTAAGTGATAGTGTCTAGGCGGGCCTAATTTTTTTTGTCATTTCCACATCTTGCCTTTACTCCCAGGCTGAGACCCGAGCAGAGTTTGCCGAAAGGTCTGTGGCAAAGTTGGAGAAAACCATCGATGACCTGGAAGGTAAAAGGGATACTCCCCTGCACCCCCAAACCTTTTTAAGTAGGTCCACACTCCCCATGACTGTCAGTCAGTCTGTCTCTTATCTTTACATCCTACTATATTTGCCACTGATAAATTAGGGCTGGACTACCTAACACTCCAGATTCCCGTGGTCAGTGCCTACCGTTCAAGTACTTGTAGCTAGTACAACTCCAGTGCTTCTCAAACTTAAGCGTGTGTGCAAATCCCCCAGAGAGGTTTTAAAATGCAGATTCCTAGGTCCTACTCCCTAGTGATTGCTGACTTTGGCCTGGAGAATTTGTTTGCTTAACAGGCTCTCTGGTAAAGCTCATGCTGCTGGTCCTCAGACCACACTCTAAGTAGCACCGATATAGACAATTCTGTCTCCAAGTGCAATACAATAGAGCTAGCTATATCACAGAGCCTTCTTTATTAAATAGAGAGCTATTTGGTTTAATATCTACATTTGCAAGACAACATTAATGGAAAACACTATTTTAAGCTAGAGTTGGTGAAAACAAATATGTAGTTGCTAGTCTGTGGCTATTTCTCACTGTGTAAAACTATCTTTCTATTCTATGATAACCCTTCACGTTCATAATTCCCATTTCTCTTGCTTCCAGTCTTCTCAGGCAAGCCCCAATTTTATCTCCAACTTTGTAGGACTTTAGACATTTTTGGCTTGAACACTCTTCCCTTGAAACAAGCATTCCTGTTTATCCAAAGCACTGTGCCCTCAGGTCCCCAGAGAGGCAAGAATTCCCGGGACAAGAACTAATTTAGGGTACAGAGAAGATAAAAGACACAGTGGTACAGAGAGGGGAGGAGGGAGCCCTAACAGCTGTCCAGCCTGTTCTCTGGCCTGTCCCTTTTACTCCATCTCTGTCTGCCTCTATCTGATTCTTGTTCTCTCGTTCCATTACCCTCTCTCCTTCCTTTCCTCTATCCCTCTATTCCCTCTCCCCATACTCCCACCCATCCCTGCACCACTACCCCCAGATGAAGTCTATGCACAGAAGATGAAGTATAAGGCCATCAGCGAGGAGCTGGACAACGCACTCAACGATATTACCTCTCTCTGAGCCCTCACCAGTGTGGCCCCCTTGGCCCCTTCTCTCCTCTCCTTTCCATTCTGTCTATGAGGAGGGGCGCAGGCAGAAGGAACGAAAATTGCCAACATTGCACAACCAGGCTGGGCGCAGCCTAGGAGAACCCCCATCGTACATGCTGCCTGCCCTGGCATTTGCTTCTTCCTTCTATCCATCCGCTACTCCCTCCACCTGCTGGCCTCTACCTCTGCTGCTGAATAAAACTCAACTTGGTCTCCATGCTGTTTTCCTGCCCTCCAGAGAGCACTTCCTTCACTCCCCTAAAAATACTAGTTCAGTGCTGAAACCTTGGCTCTTACAGACACCCCCAGTCTTGTAACACCCCTCCACCACTAAGCTCACCCACAAAACAGTGTGGCCCACATTGAAACCCCCTCTGCACGGGCACTCCCAGTCTTCACTTTCTGTCACTGCTGCATGTGGGCATGTATGACCCCTTCAGTCACCATGAGCCATGTGGTGCTTCTGCAGACCCAGGCCTGTCACTGACTTCAGAGCACTCACCTGGGGTTCCAGGATCTCAAGGAATGGTTAGAAGGGAAATGGGGCGATGAGGTACAGGCAAGGAGGGGGTGGGTGCAGCAAGAAGATTGTGAAAAGTCTGAGATGAATCTGGAAAATCTTTGGATGCCAACAACGTGGGGCTTTCATTGCAGGTCTGTTTTCTGCCTCCAATCTGTCTGTCTGGCTAGCCTTCCCTTTCCTGGCTCAGTGTTTTGTCTTTCCTTCTGTTTCCAATCCTCTTAAACCTTCTAAAGGAGATGGGCAGATTAGTTTATGACTCAAGCCTTCCCATCCCACCTCCGTGACCCTGAAGCTTTGAGTGAGGCATCCATGTCTGTCCTGGTCAATCCATCCATTCGCCCCTACCAGGGGGTCCTCAGATCCCTGAATGCTTGTGTCTTCATGTGCACAAGCATGTCTGTTTGTCACACCCCCTGTCCATGCCTTCACGTCTCTTCTCTCATGTCTCCCCTCCCCTTCCTCATGTGCTGCTTCCTCTCACAGAGACCTTGGCCAGTGCCAAGGAAGAGAATGTGGAGATTCACCAGACCCTCGACCAGACCCTACTGGAACTCAACAACCTGTAAGGGCTGGCCTTGCCTCCAGCCAGGCTATAGTTGCCACCCAACCCAATAAAACAAATTACTGGCATCACAGGGCCCTTTAAGCTTTTATTTGGTGTTGGCGATGGCGGTCTGAGAGGATGCCTGAGGGAAGCAATGGAGTTGGAAGGACCCCTGGGTGAGCAGGGCCTGGGTCTGTGTTCTGTGACAAGGCTTCCTTTTCAATGGGAGCCAAGGGGTGGGGGTGCTGGGCTCACTGAGGAGGGTTGTGAACAGGCTGTGTGAAACAGGCCCAGTAGGGCTGGGAGGACATCCTAGCTCTTACTCTCTACAAGGCAATGGAGCTGCTGTCAGTGGCACTGTCCCATTCCAGCAGGTGGCTGAGCCAAACACAATCTGATGACAAAACTGCAAAGCTACACAGATTTTACTTGAGCAGCGTGAAAGCCCAAAAGCCTAAATGTGATTTTAAGCCTAGAAGCTGAGCCTGCTCTACCCTCAGACACATACACTGTCACACACACACACACACACACACACACACTCTCATTCCAACAATATCAGTGATTTCTGCCCCTTTCCTGATAGAATGCCACCGCCGCCCCCCACAAAGATGTCCGTACCCTAACCCTGTGACATGTTACCTTAAATGAAAAAGGGACCTTGTGATTAAGCTCAGGATTTTGAGATGGAGAGATTATCCTAGATTATCTGGTTAGGCCCAATGTCCTTATAAGAGGGAGGCAAGAAAGTCAAAGGCAGTTGCAAGAGATGTAACAATGGAAGTGAGAAGTTGGAGCGATGCAAGGAAGGGTCCACAGCCAAGGACTGCTTGGCTTCTAGAGGCTGAAAAAGGAAACATCCTCCCCTCAGTGTCCAGAAGGAACCAGCTCTGCCAATACTTTGACTTTAGTCCATAAGATTCATTTTGGACTTACGACCTCTTGAACTCTAAGAGAATAAATTTGCATTACTATTAAGTTTGTGGTAGTTGTTACAGCAGTAATAGGAAATGAATACACCACCCTGATTTGGGGAACAAAAATACCTTCCACACATTTTATTAGAAAAAAAAAAATTTTAATCTTTGTTAGTTAAAAAGTGTCATGGGCAGGATAGAACAAAGTCTCCAGCTCCCATTTCAGATTCTTCTGTCTGGCTTCTTCATGTTCTCCACGTTCCAGGCCTCTAGGCAGCACTCTCAGTGACCTCTGCTGGGTGGTAGCTAATATCCCCTTTGGTCCCACCTGGGTGTCTATACAATAGGGAAGCCTAATCAGAAAACTGGCCCAGGATGAGCTTATTTGTGTCCAATTTTCTTAAAGTGTTCTGGTCTCCACGTAGGAGGTGGGAGCTATCCCTGAGAGAGGGGTCAGCATAATACATACCTTCGCTGCCTTCTCATTTGCACAAGGCAGGCAATGCTGGTGACAGCAAAGAGGATGCCAAACACCAGGGCCAGGACGTCACCTGGAGAGAGGAGAGGATGACTCAGGAAGTGAGCCTGTAGGGTCCCCCAACCCCTGTCCCAAGTTCTCCAGCTGCCCCGCAGCATCTCAGAATCCAGAAGAGGCCAGCAAAGGGATGGAGTGGATACATAGGAACGAATAAGATATAAACACCTTTTTTCCTTCCTAAAAAGAGGCTGTTGGGGGAGAAAGATGATCAGAGATTTCTGAAGCTTCATTCTGACCAACTCTTGCCATGGGGAAAATAGTGGAACCCCCCTGATCTTGATCTGACACTATCCCACAGGGTTGGAGATCTGTTCTACAGAAAAGGAGAGGCAGCAGAGGTGGTCCTGACTAGTACCTGGGGCTGAACAGTGCCAAGGGGTGGCCACAGCATCAGGAGCTAGAGGAAGAACATAAACTCACCAGCAGCGAGGCAGGAATTCAGGCGGACTGTAGAGACAAAGAAAACAGCTAGGAGCTGGGACCACCAGTGACTAACAAATGAAATATGGGATGATGAGGGACCAATGGCTGAGGGGACATGGTCATATGAGACACCAGACAAAGCCGCACCTGGCTCAACGGTCTGCTCCACTCCAGTAGGGAAGGAGGCCTCAATTATCCGCCCATTCAAAGGCTGCATGGCTCGAAAGTTCATCTGTAGCCGAGTGTCCTCAGGTCCCCACAGGGAGCCAGAGAGAGTGTGGAGCTAGGGAGGTCATTAGACAGTGGGGGAGGGCTCAGGACAAGGAAACAAAAGGGTCACAGGCCTACTCACGGCCAGCACCTCAGGGCTTCACCCTCCATGTCCCTCTAATCTCCCACACTGCCTCCTCTTTCTCACCTCATCCTATACCCATTTTCCCCACATTCCCTTTGTCACCACCATGCCGCAAACCCCACCTGCTTAGCACTCAGCCTCACTGTCTGGTTGAACACAGTCCAGATGACCCCCTGGGCACAGGGGGGTGTGGTCAGAGACCCCTCATATCGGAAGTAGCGGCTGAGGTCGGAAGGCAGCAGTGCAGATACATCCAGTCCTGGGACCCAAGTCTCTGAGTCTGTGGAGAGGACCTGTGCTGGAATCCCACCTAGATCACTCCCTTCTGAAGCTTTGAGGTATAGGGATATAGTTTCATATCCCAGAAGCCAAGTTGACTCAATTCCCTGAGACCACTTCTTCACTCAGTGTTTCTCTACCCGTAACTCAGCACAAGACATAGCTCAGAAGAAAGAAAAGGGCTTTGGAGAGAATTGCTCCTTAGGTCTTCCCTCTGAGTCTTCACTTTGCATACTGTGATAACATGCTGGACCACAGATTTAAGCCCAGAGTGAATCAAAAGGCAAAATGAGCTGAATAACTTGTAAATAAATATAAATATTTATAACTATAAAAAAAATGGAAAAAAAAATCAAAAAGCACAGTTCCCCCTAGTTTAGCAAAACTTAAGGTCCAGTAGGGTAAGTAAGGTTTAAAATGACCCGGAGTGACTGAGAAGGAAAAGAAGATTTCCAACAAAAGTATTTATAAATTTAAAATATTTGATACTTGTAAGGAGAATAGACAGTTCTCAGAAAAATTTTAGCTCCAATCCCTGAAATTCCAAACAATTTTTTGGTCTTACTTGGTTTTTGTCTTATTTTGTTCTTTGATTTTTGTTTTTTAACCATAAAGGCAGTGGGGCAGCAGTTTGCTTTTGTCTGTTTGTCTCTGTTCAACTTCATAGTTACTATCAAGATCATAGCCAATTCATACATCAACCCTCCCTCTGTGGGAGGGACCACATCTCCATACCTTCCTCAGCAATTTCTTCCAAATGTGACAGCAACTGCTCATAGGCACTGTTTTCTTCAGGGCCTTCCTAGAAGATGACAGGTGCAAGACAGGTGATACATGTATCTAGGGCCACGGCTGGAGCCCTGCAGGCGAGGTAGAGTTCCCACGGTCCTCCCTCATTCCTCAGCTCTAAGAATGCTGAGGGAACACAAAATCTTATGTATTATTTATTATTCAAAGTCTTCTTACTCTTACTCTGCAAACTAACCTAATGAGCTTGGCAGGATAGTTTTCGATGGCAAATTGGAGAATGAGGAGGAAGGTGGGCTACTTTACTAGGACACAAGGCCTTCATGGCCCAGGCCCAACTCACTTTTCAAGACTCATTGCCACCTCCACACATTTCATGCCCCATCCCCCAAAACCATAATAACCTTTGTATTCATTACATCTGCATTCGCATTAATAATTTATATGTTGACTTTTCGAGCAAGGACGTGTTATTTCAAGGCGCTTCTCTGAACTCTATGCTGTGAGGCCGATGTTACGGAGTCAGGGCATGAGTGAGGCTACCTGGGGTCTTGCCATCCCCCCATTTTACTAGCTTCTAATCATCATGTATGTAGCCTTGATCATTACAGGTTCAAAGAGGTCACTAAATGTTTCTCTAGACTTTATTGTAATTTACAAAGAGGAAATTATGGATTATAGAAACATTAGAGAAATTACTCTTCCTCATGCCCACTTTATTGCAGCTGCCATCCCTCGAATTTGCCATATTCTGAGCCCTTGCACATGCCGTTTGCTCTGCATAGAGTATCGCCTTTTCTTTCCCACTAGTGAAGGCTTCCAGTTTCACCTCCTGTAAGAAGCCTCCCCTGACTACCTCTTTTCTTTGTCCTTTGTATATGTTTACCCTGTCAGCTTCCCTCACTGGCTGTGGACTCCTTAGAGACGAGGATCAAGGGTTTCTGAAACCTTTTTGTGGCCCAGGGCCTGGCTCACAGTGGGTGTTTAATGAATGAACTACTGAGTGAATGAGGATAATAGCCAGGTGCCTGAGTGAGCGTGCTGGGATGGGGTCTCTGGGGGCAAGATACGCTGAGCCCCAGGGCATGGGGAAACAGGCTGTGGGAAGAGTCCAAGCCTGGTACCTGCAGAAAGACGGCCAACACAGCCAGGCCCCCTGGGCGCCCCAAGGCCTCGTCAACTTTGGCAAATGCAGTGCTGAGGTGAACCACGTGGATCTGGAGAGGAGAGGTGGGTAGAACTGGGCAAGATCCCTTGCCCTGCGTCCCCTTCGTCCCTCCGCGGAGAGCTGCGCCCTCACCTCGGCAGGGAAACGGTGGCCGCCAACCGTGTGCTCCGAGCCGGGTCGATCCGCAGCGCCCCAGTGCAGATGTAACTGCAGGGCCCGGTACTCCCTCCCGGGACCCAGGGCCATCTCCAGCCCGGGAGGCAAAGTCAGCTGCACTGCGGAGGGAGAGCAGGTGAGAGGTCCCGGCCCCACCTCTGAGAGGCAGCCTAAGCCCCCAGCACCTCCGGGATCGTCCCCATTCCCTAGGCCCCATCCCCTCCCCAGATAACCCCCACCTCTTCCCTGAGGCTCCGCCCCGGGACCGCCTCACCCGTGTGGCCATTATTGCGCAGGCGCAGTTGTGGGAGTGGCGGGAGCTCAAAGCCAAAGAGTTCCACGGGTTGCAGGGCGGGGCAAAAAACGGTGCGGTCCGGACGGATATCTACCGGGGACTGGAAGCGGCCAGCGCAGGCTGGGGACATCTGGGGCCAGGGCAGGTCGCCTGTGGTGGGAGAGTATGGACAGGAAGTCCGATAAGATCAAGAATTTTTAGGGACAAGGGATAGAAGAGATGAGGGGGTGGAGTCAGAAGACACTGGGGCGGGAAATAGAAATCAGGGATGGGGACAGAGACGGGTGCGGGCGTTGTCGGGGCCTGGCAGACCCGAATGCGGTGTGGGGGGCACCCAGGACCAACGTTCGGGGGTGGTTTGGGGTTAGATCAGAGCTGAGTACCCAAATTGAGTCCGTGCAGGGGTTCAGTGCCTCACCTCCGTAGCGCCAGTGACTGTGGGCATCCCCTGTTAAAAGTGAAGGATGAGAAGGCTGATCTTTGAGCCCAGTCCCTCCCGGATGGCCAGGACGAGGTAGGTCTCGCATCACAAACTCAGATGCCTTACATTTGTTAGCAGGTAACAAATGCCTAAAGCGAGCCAGGTGTAAAGCACAATAGAGTGCAGCCAAACAACACCACAGCTGGTGGGCCACACAAAGATCCTACTGGCCCTGGAGATACCAGTTCGCAACCACTGCCTTAGTAAATGGGTGGGGACCACAGTCCCCATACCCAAATCAGTAGATCCTCTTTCCTTTCTCCCTCACCCATCACTCTTCCCTTTCTGGTCTCCTAACTCTTTTTCTAAAGTTTCTGGCTTGGGAGTCGAGATACCAGGTCCCCCTACCTGCTATTTCCTTCTTCCTAGGTCTTAGTTTCCTCACCTGCAGACTGAAGATGAGGGGATTTCTACAAGCCTTTCTTGTGCTTCCTCTGGTATCCCCATCTTTTCTCTTCTCATACTCTTCTTGCTACCTGTTTTCTCTTTTCGCATTCCTAATCTCTTTCTCCTCTCCAACCTTCCTCATTATTCTTTCCCACCTCTTCCTGCTTACCTCTCTCCATCTATGCCTCACATTTGTCTCCCCATCTGTTCCCTTCTAGCTCTGAAAAAGGGAAAGGGTTTAGTGGCACGAGAGCCCCTGGGGTTGGGAAAGGCTACTGAATAATATCTGCCTGGGCTGGGGTTTAGTGAAAGGAGACACAAACCTCCTGGAGCCTAGCTTTGAAGGACTGATGACCACTTACCTTTGTTGTTCCTGTGGGCATTATTCTGGGGACCTTGAGTGTCCCTGGGAACCTCAACAGTAGGGAGATCCTCTAACTTCAGAGAGTCTTCTCCTGATTCAGGCTTCATTTCAGGTGGGTCCTCCTCTCCAGGTGGATCTTCTTCACTGGGTAGGTCCTCCTTGCCCGGTGGATCATCTTCCCCAGATGAATCTGCTCCTACGGAGGGAGTCGCCTGCATCTGGTCTAGGCTCTGGGGATGGGCAGGTAGCAGCAGCAGCAGTAACAGCAGCACAGTGGGGCCCGGGGCAGGGGCTGAGATCAACAGAGGGAGCCAGGAGCTGGGGCACAGGAGAGCCATGTGGCTGACTGTAGGGTGTCCCAGACACGGTGTGTACGGGCTGTACGTGCATTGGAAACAGGAGCTGGGTGGGGGAGGAGCAAACCCGGAGGAGAGCAGGCTGACTCACAGAGTGCCCTTTTGTAGAGATGGAGCCAAAGTCCCTCACAACTCTCTGGCTTTGTGCCCCCTGCCCGATACTAAAGCCTGGATGAGGGTGGAGTGAGGGCAGGTATGTGTGCAGGCACAAGGTTATCGGGGTCATGGGCTCAGCCTGGAACCCAAGGTACCACCTGGCACTGCACAGGCTTTCCCTGGCACCGCCCAGCTGCCTGCCAGCTAGCCTCAGCTAACCCTGGCCTGCTTCCCAGTCCCAGGCAGAGAAGGGGAAAGACAAGGAGCTGGGGCCCCCACATCTTCTGGTTGAAAGGGGAGCAGCCCATGTGTGCATCTTCCCACAGGGAGCAGGTAAAGGGGTAGGGCAAGCTGCTTTGGGAGCCTGAGGGTGGGTGGATTGGTAGGTGGGAGATTAATTTGAGTATGAATGGAAAACTGAGTATATGTATGAGAGGGACTCTGATGGGTTTAAACTACATTTATTTTTCATCACATTATACCTCTGCTCATTGGCTTCCCACTGCCTACCAAAGTATCTTCCATTTGCCCATCTTCTCCCTATAGTTGACTACCACGTCCCTTCAAAATCTTACCTGGGACCTTTCCACCTTATATCATACCACCCTTCATACTTAAGCCAAATTAAACTATTCATTTTTTCCCTAAAACCTTTGTCTTCATTCATCTACTCACTGCAAGGAATGCCATTCACAAATATTTATTTAGCATGTACCATATGTCAGGCACTGGGCTAAAAGTACATGAATGAATAAGACACAGCCCCTGTCCTGAGGAGCTCACTGTCTAAGGAGTGAGGGCAAACATCGTAAGATTTAGGGGCAAGAGATGAATTCTGCCTCAGAAGGTAATACAGAAGTAGGCAAATTATCATCAGGGCTGCGGAGAAGCAGAAGTTCAATTGGTGAAAACAATGGGGAGAATGGTATTCTGGGCAAAGGGGAAGCCTCAAATATTTTGGACAGGAGAATGATAGAATCCAGTTCTCATTAGGACATGTTGAGGGCTGGTGTGTAGCATGATTGTAGGGGGAGAGTGGGTGCAAGGAGATGAAGAATAAGAGGACCCCAAGAATGGGCTTGGGTTCCCAGTCTCTGCCTGTTCATTTAACGAACATCGAGCCTCCTCCAATCTTCCAGGTACTGTTCTAGACCCTAAGGATGCAGCAGCATTGGACTGGAGAACAGCCTCTACTATTCTGTAGCTCACATTCTAGTAAGGCCTCTATGGCTTCAGCAAAACAGATGAGAGAATAAAGCCATCTCAGGAGGTTCATATTTGGAACTAACATTCAGTAGGTACATGCCTATATGGTTGTATTAGGTTAACATATTGAAATATTTCTAAATTTGTTGGTAACTAGCCCTTCAATCCAGGGTATTCCTTTTACCCCAACTCCTCCCTTGGTACTCTCCTGACCTCCTCAAGATCTAAAGCGGTAATGCCTGGTACAGCAGGGGACCCAAGACTCCACTTGAATGCCTCAGCCAGTTTCCACTCTGATGAATCAGTGCTTGTGAACCGACTACCATATTAAATAGTTTCACTATCTCCCCTGTTTAAATCCCTTCTATTATTCAAGACTCAGTGCAAAGGCTACCTGTTCCAGGAAGTCCTTCTTGACTAACTGCACCACAGGAATTGATTTCTGGTACCTCAGCTACCACAGTGCTTTGCCTGCTCTCACTTGCCCACTATATAATTCATATTAGGATGATTTATGACATTTTATCTGCTCTAATAGCCTTGAGCTCCATAGCAGGGTCCAATATTTGATTGACTGAGTCATTCTTTTATTCAACAACCATTACTGAGCATTTCTCTGAAGATCACCTTGTCTGAGCTTGGGAAAAACCAAATTGACTAAGATGACTTCCCTGCCCTCAGGGAGCTTATTGTCTGTGATCTGGGTGTGTCAACCCATTTCAGGAGCATGACATTACGTTTTTATGGCACTCCAAATTATCTGCCTTGTCAGAGTGACTGCCATACTGTATACCAAAACTTGTATGGCTGAATAGCAATTGCCCTCCAAGCAGTCAGTTTAGGAGATAACTAGCCTATAATCTAGGTTGCCATTTCTGAAGCCGAATTAAGACCCATCCATCCATGGCTATCTGATCCAGTGCACTCTGCATGGTCAGCTCATTGTCAGGCAGCTGTGTTGTCAGCACCCTGGTTGGACTCTCCTGACACATGAAAAGTCCATGGTACTATCTAAATTGGATGGACCAGGACAGGAGGGAATTTGGTGAGCTAATTGAGGTGGATGAGGTCATGGGAAGCACAGGGGACAGAAGCACCATGCTTCTGGAGTCTGGAGTCTATGTCTGGACATCTTTCTCCAACATGTGCTGAATGGTTTTTCCTTTTTAGGTCTCTGTCAGATCTCTTTGTACACTTCTCTGTGGCACTCTTATGTCCACACATCTCCCCACCCTCTCTGCTGCTTTGCCAGTATTTCAGAGCTCACATCTGTGTCTAGGTGCAGATCTTTGTTATAGCACCCTAATTTTCCATATGCCATTCTGCATGGTGCTGCCTCTTTCTTGAGCTGTCTCTGTGTATGACTGTGTCTCTGGTCTGGGTGGGGAATGTGGACTCTGACCCTGCATTGTTCCTTCACAGCTGGGAGTCTGCCAAATTTGAGCTCTCAGAGTCTTGTTCTCTGAGCCTCCCCAGGTTGAGACAGAGTGTACTCAGGACTGACTGACTGGGGAACCGCCCCCCCCCCTCCACCCCATGCATGACCTTAAGGCCAAGTCTTTGGTCATTAGGGTTTGTTTCTATCCCAGGGTTTCAGAGGAGGAGAGAGTAATTAGCTGGTGGGTAGGGGGAGAAAAAGCCCTTTAGTCCCCAGATGTGGATTAGAAGCAAAGACAGAGCAAAGCCCTTCTGGAGCCTTGAGGCTGACCTGTAGTTCTGGCCCATCTCACCATCTGTGTTAGTTTCCTAAAATTGCTGTGACAAGTTGCACAAACTGGGTGGCTTAGAACAATAGAATTTTTTTCTCTCACAGTTCTGGAGGCTAGAAATCTGAAATTGAGATGTTGGCAGGGCCCTGCTCCTCCTGAAGTCTCTATCTAGGGCCTCTTCTAGCTTCCGATTGCTCCAGGCATTCTTTAGCTGTGGCTGCATAACTCCAATCTCTGCCTGCAACTTCACATTGCCTTCTTCTCTTGCCCCTGTCTCTCCACGGGATGTCTCTTTTAGGAACACTTGTTATTGGATTTAGGGCCCACCAGGATAACCCAGAATGAAGTTATCTCAAGCTCCTTAGCTTAATTACAACTGCAAACACCCTTTCTCCAGATAAATTCACATTCACAGGTTCTAGGGGTTAGGATATGGACATACCTTTAGGGGGAACACCATTTAGCCCACTATGCCATTAGGAATTTTAGAACTGAAGTGAATGCACAGGATGAGAAAAAATGGGTTTGTGTTGGCAACTGTCATGCCCATATCCCTCTTCATACTCTTTACAGGCAGTTTCATCCACTCCCATGGCTTCTATAAGTTGATGAAAGCCAAGTATCCCCAGGTTGGACACTCCCCTCTATGTCAGATCCACAACCACCTGCCTGCTTAATAGCATCCCCACATCTTTAGTGATACGACTGAGTTGCTGGTTTGAACTAACCATAGGGCCTACCTGCCTCTGAACTTGCCAGTTGCATGAGTTGATAAATTGTTAATGTTTAGCCACTTTGAATTACTGTTACTTTGACATAGTCTCACTGATATAAATTCCCTCCATGGTTTGGCCTCTGAATGTCTCTCTGTTCTCCTGTCTCATTACTCTCTCCTTTGCAGTCTATGCTCTAGTCTTACTGAACTTCTAGCAGTCCTTTGAATGCACTGCATGCATGCGTGGAGTATGAGTATGTGTGTGTGTGTGTGTGTGTGTGTGTTATCTCCAAGTCTTTGTCCATGTTGTTTCTCTCTCTCTCTCATCTCTCCTCCACTGCCAGCCCTGCCCTACCAGGTTTTGCTCATCCTTCATGTATCATCAGTTCGTGTCATTTCCTCCAAGAAGCCTTGCCTTCTCTGACTCCTAGCCAGGTCAGTCCTGACCACATACAAGCCTATACTTCCCTTGTAACATTGATCTCACTTTATGGTGACTCTTTACCATGTCTGCCATGGTGGACTATAAGCATCCATAACATCATGGGTCATATTTCTGTTGTCCACTATTTCATCTCCATGCCTAGCACAGGATGTGGGATATAAGAGGCATTTAATTTTTGTGGAATAACTGATGATTGTTGTTCAAAGCATCCCTAGGGCTTCTCTAGCATCCAGTGAGTTGAAAGCAGGGGTTGAGGGTAATTAAAGGAAAGAGAAGTTGTTGACTGCCCTCTTATCCCCTGGCCCCTCCTTTCTTTGGCTTTGGGAGCAGAATTGGGAGTAGAGTCTGTTCCAAGTAGAGCCTTGCTCTGTGGAAGACTTGATCCCCAGAGAATCAGCTGTCTCCAAGTGTCCCCAGTGTATCTTCTCAGCTTTGTCCTATTCCTCCTCCAAGGTTGGATGATTCCCCAACCTGAGCTCACTGTAGGCTATTTCTTGCCCTTCTTCCATCTACCCAAAGCAGACTCACACACTAGCAGCACACCCAAACATACCAGTCACCACTGCACCCCAAGTGCTGTGCTCCATTTTCATCACCTGGGCTCATGGTGATACTGATTACCATGGGATTAAATGCTCCCTTCCTCACTTGAGCTCCTAGTGCAGACTGTCATGCATTCTTTTGAGACAGTGTAATCAGTCCTCTACCTATAAACTGGTATATCCACCAGTTTCCTTGGGACCCGAGTTCAGGGTATAGTCTGACCCAAGCTCTTTCCTCCATCAAGCCCTTCAAGTTGTTTCTCCCTGATTTAAACCAGCATTTCTCTTTCCTCAGAATCCTTAGGATGTCAGGGCTAGAAGGGACCACAGACTCCTGACAATACCTTGGTTCTTGACTTGGGACACAGATTCCTAGGAATCCGGAATGGTAGGAATGGAGTCTAAAGTCTACCCAACATTGTTTTTTAATAGCAGTTTTTCTTCTAATTACAAAGTAATGCTCAAGCAGAAAATTTGGGAAAGGCAAAAAAGTATAGAGAATTTTTAAAATCACCCTATTTGTCCTGTTCACTCCTGGCCCTGATTAAGTGCTTAATAAATATTTGTTGAATGAATTATTTTCAAACTCATCACTCAGAGATAAAAACCACAATTACCTTTTGATTGTTTATCCTTCCAGTCATATATATTATACTTAAATGGGACCATACTGTACAAACAGCTTTGTAGCCTGCTTTTTTTCCTCTCGGCAATATACTATGTATGTTTTCCCATGTTGATAGCTTTTTTTTTTACATCATTTTATGCTTTTATTTTATTCCTTCAAATGGCTGTACCATAGTTTCCCTACCCAATTTACTACCTCTAGACATTTGGGAGAGGGGTCCAGTTTTTTGTTACAAACAACACTATGCCACACACCCTAGTACATACATTTTTGTCCACATATCTATTTTTTTACAATTCATTCCTAGAAAGTGGATTTTCTAGGTCATAAGAATAGGCACATTTAAAGATTTTTCATGCATACTGAAAAAATGGCACTGCCAATTTACCCTCCAGGGCTACTGCCAATTTTTTAAAAGACTTAAATAGAAAAATCTGGTACATATTATCTTTAACTAGGTAGCACAGACTAACTCCAGGCTTTTGCCATTGTCCATAGTTAAGCAATTCTGAACTACCCTGTTAGTTATTGGCAACTGCTGACCAGAAAGCTATGTAGCTGTCCGATTTGGAACAAAAAAAGGAGTTAGTGAATTAAAACCTATAAACTTTTGTCCTTGGGCCAAAATATTTCAAACCTGGTGACCCATGAGAGTTCCTAGTTGTAAAAGCATTGGGAACGACTGAACTCCAGCGTCTGGCATGGGCCAGGACAGAATATGTACCGTAACTATTGTGTCCTCTTCCCAAATGGGACACTGAGGCCCTGCCAGTGTCTGCACCGCCCCCAAATCGGCTGACTCAAAGTCCAGGCTGCTGCCCCAACTAAGTACCACTCAGAGGACCACCCACCTGTCCTACCCGCCCTAACCCAGCGGGGGCCACGCACCGACAGGCGACACCCTGGCGGTGGGGCGAGGCCGTAGCGGAGGTGGGCAGAGGCGGGTTGCCTGGCCTTCGCGCATGCTCCGTCCTGCGCGCACCTCCCGGCGCCAGGGGGCGCGCTCCTCTCCGCGAGCCTGCCCCCGTGGTCCCGCCCCCGGAGCGGTTGGAATTTGAATCTCAGGCGGGCTGTAGCTAGAAGTGACTACAGATCTGCCAGGGATGGAGAACCTGTGCCCCAGAGCTCGGTGTCCGGTGCAAGAGCAGCGTGCCCGCTGGGAGCGGAAACGCGCCTGCACCGCCCGAGAGCTGCTGGAGACCGAGCGGCGCTACCAGGAACAGCTGGGGCTGGTGGCCACGGTGCGGGCCCGGCACGCCCTCCCGTATGGGGTGGGACCCCAGGGTGTGAGGGGACTCTAGGGTGTGGGTGGTGACCGCTCTGCGCGGTCGGTGACCCAGTATATGGGGTCACCTTACACTGTCCGCCTGCATTTGGGGGTCGGTAAACTTCTACAGTTTCTAGCTGCTCCTTGGCGTTGGCCTCTTCCTGCAGACTATATACTGATATTCTCTCCTTCCGCAGTACTTCGTGGGGATTCTGAGAGCCAAGGGCACATTGCGACCGCCAGAGCTCCAGGCACTGTTTGGGCCCTGGGAGCTCATTTATGGCGCCAGCCAGTGAGTGGAGGGGGCATGGGGAGAGGGGCGGAGGGAGAGACCTGGCCTCTGCCAATGTACTGAGTTCAGAGTCGGAGAATCAGGTTCATACTCCGTGTCTGTCAATTACCTCACCTGTGGTCTTGGCCCAGTGCCTTAACCTGCCCCAGTTCTCCCTCTGTAGATGGGTAGTGGCATTACTCTGGACCAGGGTTGTGAGAATTAAATGAGGTGCTAGAGCAGTTACTTGGCAGCTCTTTTGTTGTTTTCACCCATGCAGAGAGCTGCTTCCCTACCTGGAAGGAGGGCACTGGGGACAGGGGCTAGAGGGCTTCTGCCCCCATCTAGAACTCTACACCCAATTTGCTGCCAACGCAGAGATGTCCTGGACCACCCTGCAGGTAACCGGAAGATGACCTCATCTTTCTTTTCTTCCTCTGTTGCTGCATAGATTACATCTGGAGACCCAAACTTCATACTGTTCCTGCATTTATGTAGCCCTCTGGGTGCCCAGTTCTGTGCTAAGTTCCCTGTAGGGAGCACACAGCTTACTGAAGGCTGGGGACGTGTACACAGATGAATACAATATAGGAGCGGCTTCTCTCCCTGCTGCCAATCCTTTCCCCATCATTCCAGAAGCAACTAAAGAAAAGCAAACGTTTCCGGAGGTTCGTGCGGCTTCAGGAAGGCCGCCCTGAGTTTGGGGGCCTTCAGCTCCAGGACCTGCTCCCTCTGCCTCTCCAGAGGCTCCAGCAGTGAGTGAACTCACCCTGACTCAGCCAACTTCTCTTTTCTGAGTCTGTATGACTACTGTCCTCAGCTTTGTTGAGTTCCATGGGGTCTGTCCTAAGACCTCTCTCCTGGAACAAAGTGCTCCTAAAATCCTTTTGCAAGAGGAAATGTGAACCCACTGGACTACCTGGGGTCTGCAGCCTCAGTCCCTTAGCTAGGACTGTGGAACCCTACATTAAAGTGAGAGGGCCTGTAATAGGGCTAGTGACAGGGTACCTGGAAGAGTTTGCTGAGGTAAGAGACTAGCCTAGTGTAGAGTATCTGTCGCTGGGGATGAGTTAAGAGTTTATAGTCGGGTTGTCTAGCACCCTCCTGGGATTGATTAACTGTCATCTTGGGATCTGAACTCTCAAACTATAGTCAGTTTGCCCCTGACCCTTCAGTGTGGGATGGAAGACGGCCATGTAGTATGAGCCCAGGTTTTGAAAGAGGAGATAAATAGCCAGAAGCAGATCTTTCCTGGCCGTGCAGCTGAAGTATGTGTAGGGGGTGATGTGTGTGTTAGAGGGAATTTTGCCCAGCTCTACTTCCCTTCATAGACTTCCAACTGTCTAATTCCAGGTATGAGAATCTTGTCATTGCTTTGGCTGAAAACACAAGTCCCAACAGCCCTGACCACCAACAACTCACACGTATGTTCTTGCTCTGCCAAAACTCAAGGCAGGAGGCTGCCTCTCTTGTATCTTTCTGGTCTTGACCTCCAACAATGGTATGGCCCTATCTTCCATTGACATGTACATGATGTCCCTAATTGTCCTGCCTTCTCTTCGAGAAGTTAGACGGTGACCCTGGTCCCCTGGGAATAGCCTGTCTTTCATCATCATCATCAGTGACTACCCAGAGTCAAAGTTATCCTGGGAATGGGGTGGGGGATGCTATTTCCAGGGGCTGCTCGGTTGATAAGTGAGACCATCCAGACAGTCCACACCATTGGTCAGAAACAGAAGAATGGCCAGCACCTCCGTCGTGTCCAGGCTCTGCTTGGTGGACGCCAGGCAAAGCGGTTTACCTCAGGTAGTTTGCGTACTTCCCTTTTCTTACCCCTCTTCCTCCATATTGCCAGCACATACCCGTTTCCTCAGCCTCCCTTTCCTTCTATTCCCATGGATCATAGTCCTAGAGCTGTACCAGAATAACAGCTCTTCCATCTCCTAGGTCGCTGGTTCCTACGCCAGGGCTGGCTGTTGGTAGTTCCTCCCCGTGGGGAGCCTCGGCCCCGAATGTTCTTCCTCTTCTCTGATGTGCTCCTCATGGCCAAACCTCGACCCCCATTGCAGCTGCTGCAGAGTGGCACCTTTGCCTGCCGGGCCCTCTACCCCATGGCCCAGTGTCAACTCCACAGGGTCTTTGGCCACTCAGGAGGCCCTTGTGGTGGACTGCTCAGTGTAAGTAATAGGTGGGAGTCCTAGTTAAGGTAGGAGAGGCCCAAAATATACCTCAAATGTATATGTACCTGTTTATCTCCTCAGTTTGCGCCTCTTTAATAAGAACTGAGCCATCTACACATTGAGGGAGGATAACTGGGGCCTGTGGTTCATACCTAGTTCTCACCTCAGTCCTGAATTACCTCCATGGGAGCAGCAAGGCCTTCAGCTTTGGTCTGGACCTTTCTGAGCCATGCACTAAGAAGTGGTCTCTCCTTAGTTGTCCTTTCCCCATGAGAAGCTACTGCTTATGTCTACAGACCAGGAAGATCTGTTGCACTGGTACCACAGTCTGACTTTGGCCATCAGGTAAGTTGTGTCTTCCCTCAGGTAGAGTGTTGTAATGAGGCTCAGGAGCTAGAGATGAGCAGCTCTGATCTTATCTCATGTTCTACATCTGTCTGGGACCCCTATCCTCATCCCATGGGTGATTTTGTCTGAATAGAGAGCTCATGCTAGTCCCTGAACTGACTGTCTTCTCTCAACAGCAGCCAGAAGAACTAGAAGAATCATATAAACTCCAGAACTCAGGATACTTTACGGATAGGTCAGGGTCAGGAGTATAAAGGAAACTTGTTTAGTACTAAACAAAACACAGATCCCTTCATGGTTTGCCTGGGACCAAGCCAAACTGGGTTATTTGACTAGCTCTTATGAATCAGGAAACCAAGTCTGACCCAACGGAACCTCCGCTGAACCTGCCCCTCCAGCACTGATGAGGGGATTTGGGACAAAGTTGGTGCTGTGTCTATGGCCAGTCGTTTTTCAAGGTTGAAGCTTTGCAGACATGGCTATTTTTATGTTGTATGTGGTTTCCATAATTTTCTCACTGGATTTTAGTAAAGTTTTGTTTTTTTGGAAAGGCCTTTCTGTTTCGGCTATGTGCTATGACAAAAGGGATTTCTGTGCCCTGAAGGCTGGCATGACGGTGCTTCAGGAATACAAGGAAAGAACTGGGGCTCCCTCTGTCGTTCAGCTCTCGCACTGGAAGGCAGCATCTTTTTGTCCTAATAAGGGAAGCTTTTCAAGAAGTCCCGGTTGTTCTTAGGCACCTAGTATGGGTACGTGTGTGAGACCAGCTGGAATGGAAAAAGCACACAGGAGCATCCAGTCACAAAAACAGACTTTGTTTTACTAAACCTTCAGCTGTTGTCCCTCCTTGGCAGGGGCTGTGACTGGGGCCCTTTGCCACAGCCTTGCTGCATCTTCTCCTTAGCCCCTGCTCCATTCCCCTGAGAGTAGCTAGGTTCCTTGTCTCTGTGCTCCAGTTCAGGGGCTCCTCCCAGGCCTGACTGTCACCAGCTTCCATCTCGTCCTCCTTTATACATAAGTCCTCAGGAAAGGGTGTGTTGCCCTCTGTGAAGGGAAAGTCAGCCATGTTCCAGTTTCAGAGATTTTGTCTCTACCTCCACCAGACTGTCACCTCCAAATCCATTACCTGATTCTGAAATCTCCACACCCGTATTTGGCTTGTTCTTTTGTAGCAGCTGGTGGATGGTGTGTAACTTCATGTTCAGAAGCTCCTGCTGGGCTCCAGCCAGGGTAGTCACACTGCAGATATGTCCACTCAGAGGCTGCCCAATCTATGTTCCCGACTCTTACACCTACCACACATTGCTCTCCTTACCGCTCAAAAAGGGGGTCCAGCTGAGTCATCAGATTGTTCAGGTGTTGCTCTGTCTGGGCCAGCTGTTGTGTCAACTGGGCCAGCTGTTGCTCTAGAGATAAGGGAGAAAAGGAGAGGGGTGGTTACTTACCTTCTGCTGTGCCCTACTCCCCTGCCAAGCCCAGACTTCTGCAAAACCCACCTGACTGCAATGATTCCTTCTTGCCTGCCTTCTCTTCAAGAACAGCAGCCTCATCTTTCCCCTGCTATGGAAGAAGGAAAGGGCAAATACTGCAACGAGGCTTTCCATTATTTCAGTCTCCAAAGCCAGTAAGAGGAGGAGGAAAATTTGAAGTGGAGAAAGCTTTTGGGTTTTTACCTCAGAATCACAATCACATCTAGTCCAGCTTCTCACACAGGACATGAAGCAACATGTCAGTATGCCCCCACATGTGGTCATTCAGTCTACTGAACTCTACCTCCAGGAAAGCAGCTCCCTCAGGTTTGATAAAGTTCTAGGTGTTACTTTACATACAAAACCAAAATTTGTCCTTTATGTATCTTCTTTCTATGGTGCTGATTAGAGCCTTCCCAAATCATGTCTTTTCAAATTCCCTCAGGAATTTGAAGACAATGGTCATTCCCCCGCCTCCTGCCCTCTTCCCCATGTCTTCTCTGGTTTAGTATCTCCAGTCTTCTTTAATCAATGCTCATTTGACACTGTTTTCTCTGGTCGCTTTACTGAGCTTGTAGAGCTCTTAAAGCAATGCCCCGAGGAGAATAAAATTCTCCATAAGTGTTCTAATCAGAAGATAAAGCGCAAAACCTTGTTCCTATCATTGATTTGGGAAGTGGATTGTTACATCACACAACTGAACTTTATTAGTAAACTACTGCTATTATGTTTGTTTCAGACTAGACTTGAGTCCAAGAGTAGAATTTATCCTTGCTAAATTTCATCAGTAAATTCAGTCCTTTATCCTAGCCTGTCAAGTCTATTTGGGATCATGATTAGTTATCCTTATTAGTTACCCTGTCTAGTTCCATATCTCCAAATTGGTTCAGCCCTCTATTTCCCAAAGCAAGTAAGTAAGAGGGCTAGGGCTAAAGATGCAGCCCTGGGAGGTACTACTTTCCATTTCAACAGTTCAATGCACCAAATGTACTGTCAGTTCACATTTCGGGGCCTCCTTCCCAAGGAAAACATGAGACTTGAACTCTAAACACTGTGACTACAGTAATCAACCGCTTATGCCAAGGTTGGAATCTCACCAGGAACCCTACTTTTGTAGTATGGACACTCGGCTGGGTTCAAATTCCAGCTCCACTAGTTACAAGCTCTGGGGGACCTTGAGCAAGTGACAATCACTTCATTGGACTGTTGGGAAGACAATGAGATAGTTATTAATTATTTACAGTTTACCACGCACCCTTCACATCCATTACTTTGCTGGATGCTCAAAATAACCCCAAAATGTTGGAAAGCCAAGAAACTATTATCGTTCATTTTACAGACTGACGGGAAGATGTCTCTTGTTCTTGGAACCATAGCGCTATGGCATAACGCCCCCATGGGAAATTTCAGGCCCGGGGCATTCTCACCCCTGGTCTTCCCGCACCTGCAAACACTTGTACAGCACAAAAGCCACGATTGCCGCGGTGTACAGCGCCCCCAAAGGCAACTCCCTGGCCAGGGCCCGCTCACGTTGGTCCTTGGGCGGCGGCTGCTGCCAGGGTTCCGTGGCCCTAGGGCCAATCTGGGCGGGGTCCCCTGTGGAGGAGGGCAAAGGTGGGTCAATAGAGCTGTGGCTTGGGACCCGTGGGCAGTCCTAGCCTCCCTCCAGCAGCCCTCGCTGGTACCTGGCTGTGCCTGGAGGTCGGGGCTGAGGTGGTCTCCGCGGACCCCAGGCAGCGCAGACACAAGTAGCAGCCCCAGCACACCCGCGAGCGAGACTGAGCTCACCATTGCAGGGCGACAGACGGAAGGAGTACGCGCCTGCGTACGCGCGCTCCCGAGCCCGCCTCGCTTTGGCTCTTCCGGAAGGTCACGCCTACTTAGCGTGTGGGCGGGGCCAAGGCTTATTTACATAGTACTGTTAGCTCAGCTTTCCCAAATTAGTTAATTTTTCATCTATTTAGGCATTCTATATTAGTCAGAATGCCTCCAGAAGCCTTAGAAGATTATGCCAAAATTGTTTCTTAGTTCTTACGCCACCAACATCCTCGCCCTAACCAAGAGATAAATTTTCTGCTGGGCCTATAAAAGGCTGTCTGAGGAGGACCGTGAGGTGGTTCGTGCTGAAGGCCTGTTTCCTAGGCCACAGACGGAGGACTTGTTCCTTAATCCATGCCTAGGGGAAAGTCCCCGGACCGCCGGCAGAGAGTGCCACGTGCACATGCACGTAGACCTTCCCTGCCTTTCACTGTTAAAACCGCCAAGAAGCAACCCCTCCTGCGGGGGAGCCGAGCGGCGTGTAGCAGGGTCGTCGTCCGTCAGCTATTCTAGTGACGCAGGCAGTGCGCTTTTCCGCGCACCAACCACACGGGGCTCATTCTCGGCGCGACTGCATTTTAGAAAACAGCAAGGCCCAGGGTTGCAATATGCAATAGCTACGGAGCTCGTAATTGCCTAATATGTCCCAGGTTTATTTCCAGTTCTCTGTGCCATTCCTTTTACGCACCGTTTATGTCTACACGTCCTTCAGATCTCAGCTGAAGTGAGACCTTCATTCAGAACTCTTTCAATATATTAATTAGCGAAGCTATTGAACTTACTTCAAACCACTACTATTATGTCAATTACATCTCAATAAAACTGGAAAAGTCCATTTTAATTTATTAAAAATCAATTAATTAAAAATTTATATAGAAAGAAAATGCTGCTAGACTTTATTCCATAAGAGTGGGAGCCCTATCTTTTTACCATTTTATTCCTATAGCCTAGCACAGCACCTGGCGCTAGCAGACACTCAGTGAATCCTGGTTGAATGAAATTAATGTGTTCAAAACTACCTGACAGGTAAACATAATTAGCGTCGTTTAAAGAATAAGGAAACTAAGTTATTAATCAGGTAAGAGGCAGGGCTGAGATTCCAACCATTTTCTGTCTCCATATCATCTGCTTGACATCACCCCATCCCAACTCTTCCCACCCCCTTGCCTTCCAGGTGGACTTAAGTAGTCTCTCTCAGTCCCACTGTCTTTTATAATTGTCTGGGTTACCTAAGACAATGGTCCGACTTGTCTTCCTAATTAGACTAAGCTCTTTGAGGAAAGAAACCATTTTCCACCCACTTTTGTATCTCCAGAGCTGGGCACATAAGCAATTGGTACATGTATATTAAATGAATGAAGTACACGTGTGTTAAATAAATGACTAAAATCTGACTGTATCCTCTTGTCTCTCCAGAAAGGGTGGAGGAAGGGCAGGGAGACACCCACACGCAGGGGAGCTGTCATGGCCTACCTAACTACCCAGAGGCACCCTGAGTTACGGAGCAGGGTAATCCAAACCTTGACTCCAAGCCAGTGGGCACAGCCAATGTGAATCAGTGGTTCAGGGCAGGTAAAATATGATAAATGGCCCCCAACTGATTGTTACCTGTAGGGAATTCGGGTCCCCTATTGCTAGATCTTCATCTTCTGATTTTTTCCAAAAAAACAATAAATTGGGATTTTTAAAAATTGGAAATCTGTTTTTAAGTGTCGACAAGAAATCAGTGGTATACTTAGCATATTTGCACCTGAGCGGATCATTAAAAAAATTCTCCTAGGTAACAAAATCGTTTTCGGTAATAATCAGGAAATAAAACAAGGGCCAGAAAGAAACTAACAATAATGGCCAGAAATTCAAACAGTGAATTATTTGTTTTATTGAATTTGTTTTATTGACAGTATAAAAATTTATATAGTTAAAAATTCAGAATTAAACATTACAAAACAAGAAAGGAAAAGATAATGGGTTAATATTTCTTAATTACAATATTGTATTTTTTGAGAAAAGGAGTTAAAACGTATACCTACATATTAATCTGAGTATGAATAACTAGTTTCTTTTTGTGACATTAACTTCCGTAGATTTGTCAAAAGTAATCTTTGCATATTCATATTTAATATAGAATAAAGCCAGATTTGTGAATCTCCACTCATAGTTGATCAAAGAATGCTTTTTATTAATTTTCATTTCAAAACGTTTTTCAACATGAAACAACAGACATACAAACAGGAAAAGTCTTAAACATAAGGATGTTCAGCAGAGTCATAAAAATTCTTTCATAATAAATTCCAGAAATTTTCAATATAAATAAAAACTCCAAGTGGTCACGTACAATGCCAAGTAAAGTAACTCAAGTTCAATTTCTTTGACTTTACAATCATCGTGCTATCATTGTTTATTTTAAATCTCCAGTTTAAGTGCAGGAATATGTACTATCAAGGGGGTTGGAGATATTGTGCTCAAAGCAAACTTGAACAATTCCACATTGTTAAGAAGAACTAGTTTTAGATATAAACACATGTAGATGAATCTCTTTGTAGGGCCCAACTGTATAACTGGAAGTTCTCCAGATTAACTTTCATGTAGATTACAATGTTTTTTAAAGGATAAGTAATATAATTGTGCTAATTTGAAGCTTGTATATCGTTAAAACTCATCAGTAATCACAGAAATTTAGAACTTAGATCTACAAAAGATTCTTCAGAGAGGAGTATATTATCACTGGCATTTTTCACAATTTCTGGAACGTGGTGGTCATAAAAAGGAGACTGATTTTTTAGTTGGTTTTGTTTTAAAATTCTCTACAGACCATACTCTTACTGCCTGTAACTGGAGAGTCAGAACCTTTCCTGCTATTCCCATCCTTGGCACACCACTGCAATGATTTTTTAAAAATTTTAAAAACACTGTATGGGCCAGACAAAACACATCTCTGACCTTTGGTCTAAGGTTTATATTTGAAACTTAAATTTCTCTTCCCACATCGGTAGCCTCCCACGTGACTGAGCTGTCTCTGGGCAGGGCAGGTACTTCACTCCTTGAAGTGAACAAGTACAAAGACAGGGCTCAGTTTCCCAGCAAAGTATAGGGGCAGAGGTTTCTTTAACTCAACTAACTTTTGAGCTTGACAGTTCTTAGAGACAGTTTGGATGAAGTGGGTTGAGAGTGGGGAATCTAGCTTCTTCTATCCCTCAAACTATGATACCTGTAATAATAATAACAATAACAATGACAATGGTCATCCTAACAAATTCACCTTGGGTCCGCCTTAGGGTGTGGTGAGATTGTAGGCAGCAGGAGACCTCCCAATCACATTCCACTTTATAGCTGCTCACTGAGGAATACATTCTCCCTCTAATGATTCAGAGTTGTAGAGAAAAGTCAGACAACCTGCGGCAGAAGGGAATCTCTGTCTTAAGGCCTGGCTTCCTTATCTCGTGGGTCCTGCCTTATGCCACTTCTTCCCCTCTTGGAGTCTGCATGGCCTCACCTACACAGTGGCACAATAAATTCAGGCCTGCCTCTCTCTTCTCTGGCTGAAGTGGGTACAGGGCCATGAGGCAGGGTGGTGGTACGGAAGCTCAGGATCTGCTGGGTGGCGCAGGTGCAGGCACTGGGCGGTATCTTTGTTCTTTCACTCATCCTTTCCCTCCCCCTTCCTCCCCGGAAACCAGCGACGTTGCCTTCACCAGTATTGGAGATGATGAGCCGTGGGGGCCAAGCCCAGGGAGGGGTGGGAGTAAGGGGGGCTGCTGCAGCTGTCAGGCCATAAACCAGGCTGACTCCTTTGCTCAGGACAGGGTGCTTGCAGACTCAAGTCCCACATCAGCGGTCATGTGCGGAGAAGACAACTCCACACATCCAGTGTTCGGTAAGCTGGGCGGGGCGGGGGCAGGAGGAGGGGTCACATGGCTCCATGTCCCTCCTGCTGGGATCTGGAGGGTTGGGCTGGGCAGTAACACCCCATCCTCTCACATCCACAGGAATCCCCTCCCTGACTCAAGCCTGGGGTTTGTGGGCCCTCTTAGGGGCTGTGACACTGCTGCTTCTCATCTCATTGGCTGCACACTTGTCCCGATGGGCTAGTGGCTGGAGCAGGAGACATCGGGGACAGGGACAGTGAGTAGGGGAAAACAGAGATGGGTTAATTGAGAATTTCTCCTTACCAAGGAGTCCCCATTCATTCCCTAAACTTTGTGTTGCAGTTCTGGAGAGTCCGTGGAAGATGTCCCCCTCTATGGGAATCTGCATTATCTGAAGACAGGTAGGAAGCTGGCTGAGGCGAAGGGCACAGAGGTCAGATCCTCAGGTGGGTGGGATGAGGGGCTGAAAGAGGAAAAACAAGAAGTGACCAGATTCCTGTTCCCTGTCCCAGGATGGCTGTCTCAAGAACCAAGGCCAAACCCACAGGATACAATACCTGGAGGCCCCACCAGGGTGAGTCAGTTGTGGTTGAGGAAGAGGGGAAGAAAGGAAGTGGGGGCTTTTTCAAGGGTCCAGTGAACTTTTAACAGTCTTGCATCTCCAGGCTGCAGAGGAGGTGATGTGCTATACCAGCCTGCAGCTGCGGCCTCCCCAGGGCCGGATCCCCAGCCCTGGAACCCCCATCAAGTACTCAGAGGTGGTGCTGGACTCTGAGCCAAAGCCCGAGGCCTCAAGCTTAGAGCCGGAGCTCTATGCCTCAGTATGTGCCCAGACCCGCAGAGCCCGGGCTTCCTTCCCAGACCAGGCCTATGCCAACAGCCAACCTGCACCCAGCTGAGATGGAGGGCCTGGCACAGTGAGGCACGCATTGCCTCAGCCTCCTCTGTTGCAGGGGTTACTGCTGACTTGTCCTGGGCATCACTTTCCCAACAACCTCCAGACAGGCAGCCATTGTCCAGTCACGGGAGGTGATATTCCCTGAACTTTCTATCTGAGCTGTGAGGGAGATGTCTCAGGGGAAAGGCAGGCTCCCAGTTTCTTGAGGATGGAGGAAGCAGAGACAGTGGTCCCCTCACCACCTCTTTTTTTCCTATCTAATTTCTCTCAGCCTCCAAACTCCCAGGATTTCACTTCCCACTCCTTCCCAAGTTTAACTGGATCCTTCCCACGACCGCTTTCTCACAGTGTACCCCTGCACCTCAGTGTCTTCTCAGACACAGGAAGTGGGAGGTGGGGGAGGGGTAAGAGCCTGGGAGGACCTGAGTGGGTACACCCAGGCAGAGCCCAGAGGCTGGAGGGGTCCTGGAACCTAGCAACTTGAGGAACTCAAGCCTGGCTTCTGATCTGAGAACCCTGGCAGGGGAATACCAGCCACCATCCTGCTGCCTCTGTTGTGTCCCCAAGTTTTCAAATAAAACTTCTCAAAAAGTGTTTAAATTTCACCTATTGGGCTACAGGCCTGCAACAGGCCTCACATGGTGGGCACGGGAGCTTTGCTGTCTGCACAGACCACTGCCTGGTGGTGTCTAGCGGGGGAAGAGGGCCCAAGAGAGGCTGCCGAATCAACACTACAGGGGTGGGTGCCGGGGTGGAGGCTGGCGCCCAGCTCCTCGGCTGCTAGTGCTGCTGCTAGAACACCCTCAGCATCTGCACTCAGAGACACCCCACTTCCATCACCTGGAGTTTGCAAGCTCACCAAGCCCCTGACCTACTCTCCCATGGACTCGATAACTGTGCTACCTAAGGCGTCTCCCCTTAGGCAGGTCCAACTTCACAGACCTGCGGTTTGAGGGGCAGAAGCAGCTAAGGCTTTTACTTCCAACCTTCTCTCCTTCTTTCCTGGTCCCAGGAAAAACCACAAGGTAGGGAACTATGCTCCTGAGTCCAGCCTGGTGGTCCCAGTAAGAAGGGAGACCTCCTCTGTGCGCGCGCGCACACAAACACACACACACACCCACACTAACCCAAATGCCCTGGTATTTCTCCACCTCTGAGGACCCCAACCTGGGCCACCCCAGATGAGGCCCGGATCGCGGTTACTGGCAGGCTGCTGGGGCTGTGTGGGAGGGAAGGTGACTTTGAGGGCGGGCACCGGATGCGAGGAACCACCGGCAGCGGGATGTGGGGTTCTATGAGAAATGCTGTGCTAAAGACGGCTCAAAGCGTTCGCTGCCTGGGGAACTTGAGGGCTTGATCCTGGAATAGGCGGGGATTGGAGTTCCACCAACTCACTGGGACCCGCCGGGAAACGCAGCCGAGGCCTAACACGCCCCCAACCCAGATTCGCTCTCACAGCGGGGCACTGCGGCGCCCGCGGCCTCCGCAGGTTCAGGACTAAGTGCCGAGCGCCCCCGCCTGGCGTGAGGCGGCTTCGCCACCACCTCTGCGCAGGCATAATACTGCCCGGTCCGCGGCATGCTGGGAAATGCAGTCCCGACACTGCCCAGCCGCCCCGGGGTCTAGCGTGGGAAGGCGGTGAGTGCTGACCCTGTTGCTCCCAGACCAGCCGCCTTTCGCGTTCGCAAGACGTAGCAGACTCAATGTGTGGCGCTGGGTTGACTTGAACTTTGTTTTCCTTCCAGCCCCCGAAGACTGGGTCGACTGCCTTCTCTCTCCCTTACAACCCTTTACTTTTTATTAGCTCCTTATCATGTCTATCGCTGAGGCTCATGCCTAGGCCCTCATGACTGAATTGATCCCTATGTCTACGAGATAAATAAGTTGGGGCAGCCGGATGCACCTCGAATATCTTTTGAAGGCCCTCTTGCCACATCTCTCTAGCAAGTCAACTCGTCTCATCTTACCAAATACCTGGGGGAGTTCTCTCTCCTTCCATGTCTCCAGGTGCTTCCCATAATGGGTCCCTTGACTCACTAGTGTCTGATCCCAGCCAGGAGTACCTGTCCCAGGCAAATTCCCAGAGGGCAAGTCCTTAGGAGAAGCCACGAAGGCCCTCTGGGGCCCCAGCTTTCACCCTCTTCCTGAGGTCCCAGCTGGGATAGGGTTAAGTTCAAACCCCAAAGAAGGTTTTTTGGGATAGTCAAAGATTCAGTGATAGGACGTTCTTAACGAATTACTTAATAGGTGGAGAGGGGCCTCCGAAGCCATCCCAAGCCATCCAACCAAGGTCCCTCCATCTTCGGCCTTGCTCTGCACTCTGTCAAGATGAATCTAAACTTTCAAGCTGGTTTTGGCTTCCAGGAGGGAAACAGAGCTGGGACATAGAGAAAGACCAAGTCTTAATGACTTCATTTGAAACCCTAGATCCTTCCATGCCCAGAGCTAGACCTGCTTCCTGAACTTTTTGGTTATGTAAGCTAATAGATTCCTTTTTGCTTATGTCTAAGTTAGATTTTCTATTTCTTGCAACTATGAGTTCTGACCTACTATTAATGGCTTCTGTATTTAAGTCTTTTGGTGATTATCACTGTATCCGTCAATAATACTTACTCTACTCAGAGCAAGGGGATTCTGGGCATATGACAACCCTATGAAAACCTCCATTCCATACCCCCTCTGACAACTCTCAGATATATGTGGGGAACTTTAAGTGGGCTCTCCTGAACTCCTGGCAGAGAATTCCCTCCAGACCAATTTCTGGAGAAGAACCTTAGCCAAAAGCAATGACCCTCAGGAAGGCAGCAAGTAGGAGTAACAGCCGCCTCCCAAGAACAATCAAAGGCTTTGCTGAGTCTCCCCACTCTCCGAAAACCTAATGGTGGATGGAATTTGTCAACCTTTGAGGCCAGGAGAAACACAGACAAACCAGAGGGCAGAGAGACCTGCTGGAGGAAACAAGGGAACCTCTGACTGAAAAAGATGAGAGCCTGGAGGAGATACGTGTAAAGCTCAAACACAAAAGATTTCCCTGAACAAGAAAATGTGATATCAGAAATAAAAATTTCCATAGATAAACAAGAGGATGGTCACTGCTAAAATCCAAAAATATGTCTAGAAAATAAATAGGTTGAAATATCTCAAAATGTGACAAAAATATAGAGATGCAAATCATGTGGTTAAAGATGGGAGGTTGGAACAGACCCAGGAAACTTAATTGCAAATTCTATGAGTTCCTGGAGAAAAGGGAACCCAAGAGGAGAGGTCATACTTAAATAATAGATGAAATTTCCCTGAGCTGAAGAAAGTCTTAAGTTCCAGACTGGACTGATAGGAAAATACATACTTAACCATACACAGGTTAATATTCTTAGCTCTAAGGATGTGGGAAATCTTGGCACAGTTTCAGGCAGAAAGAAAGATTTTTTTTATCTGCTACCTTGGAAGTTAAAAGACAGCAAAATTTAATTTTGAGTTAACAAAAGAAAAGGCCTGCAGCCCAGACCCAGCCAAGGAGGAAAGATATTGAAGATTTGCAAAACTCACCAAGTGTCTCATCTGAGAAATACTTTAGAAAGACTTTAATAAAACAACAAATAAATCAGAACAAAGACTTTAAGGCAGGGGAAGGTGAAGAGGAAAGAAAGCAGTGGAGAGCAACGAACCATGATCTACATTTTTATATTTATCTATCATCTATATCCTCTCTCTCTCTCTCTCTCTCTCTCTCTCTCTCTCTCTCTCTCTCTCTCTCTCTCTCATTTATGATGTGTAATATAAATGCTAAATAAGGACTCTTGGAACAGATGGAACACACTGTAAGGGAAATTCTAATTAGAATTTAAATTATCTCAATAAAACTCTGGAATCAGGTGGTGAGTATAAGAGGAAGGTAAGTGTTCCAGGATCTAAGGTAGGGAGGATTACAGGGGAGGGAAGAATGGTAGTGAAAGTAATATAAAGACCATATCTTACTGGGATGGGAAGGAAGTAGAAGATAAATAGAGTATGATGAAAATAGGTGTTTTTACATGCTAGAAGAGTCATGTGGTCTATTTAAGAAAGCAGGGCAAGGGACAGTAAACCATTAATAGAAAGACAAACTCCAAATTAACAAGGGAAAATGGGATGCAAAGGAAAAGAAGAGTTCACAATAATTTTTAAAAATTTAAAAACAAGATGGAAATAGTAAATCAAATATATCACTTATTACAGTAAATATGAATAGACTGAATTCTTCCATTAAAAACTTGACAGATCATGTTACGAATCAAATTCTGGTGCATATTACTGAAACATGTAGAGCAAAGATTCAAAATAAAGATGAGGGAAAGGGATACCAGGCAGATAAACAGAAAGTTGTGATAATACTGATATCCAACAAGGACAATAAATTACAGGCTGAAAGTGGTGTGAGGATTGCTTGCAAAGAGGTAGGAAGAAACTTGTGGGCTGATGGAAACTTTCTGTATATTGATTGTGGTGGTGGTTACCTGACTGAATATATTTGTCAAAATTCATAGGACTATACACTTAAAATTGATAAAATTTATTGTATGTAAATTACAATACAGTAAAGCTGGTTTTAAAAAAGAATAAAATTACTGTGTTCACAAAATTTGAATACTGAATGAAAACATAGTGTGACACCAGAAACTCTCTCAATTACCCTATATCATATATCCCTGAAATTCCATAAGGATAACAAGCTTAAAAAGAAAAAAGAAAAAAGAAAAGCAGTACTTATTTCAATAAATTATAAAAAGAACAAGAAAAGAAACCCAAAGTAATCAAGATATAACAAAAACTGACATGAATGAAATGGAACACAAACAAAAATACAAAAAGCATAAATTTAAAAAAAGTTCTTTAAAAGGGCTGGCAAAATAAACTTCTTGCAAGCCTAAACAAAAGGGAAGAAAAAGAGTAAAAACAGACAAGATTAGTTATGAGAAAGAAAACATCATTACAGAGAATGAGTTATAAAGAAGTGCAACTTAAAATTTCTCATCGAGTAATTTGAAAATTTAGTGGAAATGGAAATATTTCAGGAAAAATATAATCCACCTAAACTGACCCAAGAGAAAGAGGAATGCTTGAATAGCTCAACTCATTTTAGAAAAGACTAGACTAAAAAGGTGATTAAAGATCTACTTTTGGAAAAGACTGCATTCAAATGACACCACAGCTGAGTTTTTTCTAACCTTAATAATTTCATGCCACTTAAACTAGTCAGGACTATAGAAAAAGAAGGAAAGTTCCTATACTTAATATACAGAGCCAGCATAACTTAATACCATTCCTAAAAAAAAAAAAAAAAAAAAAAAACTCTAAGAAAGAAAAAGAGGAAAACTGCTTAAATATAATGAAGACTTTCTCCTAAAACTTAACAGCAAATATTTTTCTCAGTGGCGAATCACCAAAATCACTTCAACTAAAATAGAACTTTAGAATGCCTGTTATTGTCCTTATTATTTAACATATCTTGGCAGTTTTATCAAACGCAGTGAGTTATGATCATCTGAAAAATGACAACGCTGTATTTTTTTATGATATAATTTTATTATCAGAAAATTCAGAAGACTCTAGTAAGAAACGCTAGTAA